ACTGGCCCTATCTCCCACCTCTTCCTCTGTTACATCGATGACTGTATCGGCACCGCCTCGTGCTCCCACGAGGAGCTCGAACAGTCCATGCACTTCACTAACACCTTCCACCCCAACCTTAAGTTCACCTGGACAATCTCCGATACCTCTCTCCCCTTCCTGGACCTCTCTATTTCCATTTCTGGCAAAACCACCTGGAAACCAATATCCATTTCAAGCCGACTGACTCCCACAGCTACCTAGAGTACACATCCTCTCACCCACCCTCCTGCAAAAAGGCCATCCCCTATTCCCAATTCCTTCGCCTCTGCCGCATCTGCTCCCAAGATGAAGCATTCCACTCCCAGACATCACAGATGTCTTCGTTTTTCAAGGACCGCAACTTCGCCCTCAACCGTGTCTCTCACATTTCCCGCAACTCATCCCTCACACGCCCTCCCTGCAATAATAACCAAAACAGAATCCCCCTTGTCCCCACGTACCACCCCACCAACCTCCGGATCCAATGCATCATCCTCCGACACTTCCACCATCTGCAATCTGACCCCATGACCAAAGACATTTTTCCTTCCCCACCCTTATCTGCTTTCCGGAGGGACCACTCTCTCCATGACTACCTTGTCAGCTCCACACTCCCCTCCAGCCCCACCACACCCGGCACTTTTCCCTGCAACCGCAGGAAGTGCTACACCTGCCCCTACACCTCCCCCCTCACCCCCATCCCAGACCCTAAGAAGATCTTCCACATCAAACAGATGTTCACCTGCACATCTGCTAATGTGGTATACTGTATCCGCTGTTCCCGTTGTGGCCTCCTCTACATCGGGGAAACCAAGCGGAGTCTTGGGGATTGCTTTGCAGAACACCTACGCTCGGTTCGCACCAAACAACTGCACCTCCCAGTCGCGAACCATTTCAACTCCCCTCCCACTCCTTGGATGACATGTCCATCCTGGGCCTCCTGCAGTGCCACAATGATGCCACCCGAAGGTTGCAGGAACAGCATCTCATATTTCGCTTGGGAACCCTGCAGCCCAATGGTATCAATGTGGACTTCACAAGCTTCAAAATCTCCCCTCCCCCAACCGCATCCCAAAACCAGCCCAGCTCGTACCCACCTCCCTAACCTGTCCTCTCACCTATCCACTCCTCCCACCTCAAGCCCCACCCCCATCTCTACTAGCCTCATCCTGCCTCCTTGACCTGTCCGTCCTCCCTGGACCGACCTATCCCCTCCCTTACTCCCCACCTACACCCACCTTTACTGACTCCAACCCCGCCTCCTTGACCTGTCTGTCTCCTCTCCACCTATCTTCTCCTTTATCCGTCTTCTATCTGCCTCCCACTCTCTCCCTATTTATTTCAGAATCCCCTTCCCCTCCCACATTTCTGAAGGAGGGTCTAGACCCGAAACGTCAGCTTTCCCGCTCCTCTGATGCTGCTTGGCCTGCTGTGTTCATCCAGCTCTACACCTTGTTGTCTCAGATTCTCCAGCATAGGCAGTTCTTACTATCTCTGTAACAACCCTTTGTTGTTGCTTGGTTTCTAAATTGGTTTCATAAGTTGTAATACTCACCTCTGTAAGTTTCAATGTCGTGGGTTCAAACCCAAAGCCAGGACTTCAGCACATAGCACATACAGATATTTCAGTGCTGTTCTGAGGGAGTGCTGCATTGTCAGAGTTGCTAATTTTTTTCAGATGCAATGTTGAACCATTGCTCTGACTGTTCTTTCAGTATTTGTAATATGTTCCACGACATTTTTTTCAAAAGGTGCAGGAGTTCTTAGAGTCATAGAGTTGTACAGCATGGAAACAGACCCTTTGGTCTAACTTGTCCTAATTTAGTCTAATCCCATTTCCAGCATTTGGCCCATATCCCTCTAAACTCTTCCCATTCATGTACCCATCCAGACGCCTTTTAAATGCTGTAAATTGTACCAGCCTCCACTTCCTCTGGCAGCTCTTTCTATACATGCACCACCCTCTGTGTGAAAAAAGTTACCCCTTAGATCCCTTTTCTATCTTTCCCCTCTCACCTTAAACCTATGATCTCTAGTTTTGGACTCCCATATCCTGGGAAAAAGATCTTGGCTATTCACCCTATCCATGCCCTCATGATTTTATAAACCTTTATAACATCACCCCTCAGCCTCTGACATTCCAGGGAAAATAGCCCCAGCCTATTTCTGTTTTTGTCATCAAGATTTGGTTCGCAACCAAAGAAAATTATTGCCATGTGTAAATTATGTGCTGCATTTTATTATATTACAACAGTGGCTCCATTTCATTGGCTTAAAAATACTTCTTTGAAAGTTTGAAGTTGTGGAAGGCACTAGATAAATGCAGATTTTTTCCTTCTTCAGCTGCCTACATAACCTATCTTCAATTGTGAATATAGTTTCTGCTTCAGATCATTCAGTCCAGGAGCGCATGCGGTAGCCTCTGAGTCTTTGAAACATGCTCCCAACCATTTCATGTAATTCCTTCAACATATGCTTTTATTCCTTTCTTCCTAATACATTTATCTGGCTTGGTCCTAAATTCATCTGTTCTATTTGTCTCAACTACTCTTTGTAGTCACGCTTTTAGCATTCTTACCATTCTTCGAACAAAGAACTTTCTCTTGAATTCCCCGTTGGACTTATTGATGACAGTCGTAAATTTACATCTTTCAGTTTTGGATACAATCCCCACTCCATTCCTCAGCCGACAACTGGAAACAGTTTCCCTGTGTCTGCCTTATAAGACATTTCATTATCTGAATGTAGTGAGAAGGTTTGATGAATATGTAGATAAGCTTCTGAGGTAGGCTATGATGTAAGTATGACCTCAGAGGTCATGTGTTAGTCTACTTATTGTAAGTTTGTTCCTAGAGTTGTTTTGGGAAATGGTTATTGGTGGCTCATTTTGTACATATTGTTAATTTTTAAAAAAAGTACTCGGCAACTCAACCTAAGAACATTTTAAGAATAGAATAACGTACAGAAATCATCATAAGACGTAAAGACCTCGATCAAGTCACTCTTTAATTTTTTTTTCCTGCAGCTTTTTCAGCCTTTCCTGGTAGGTAAGACCTCTCAGTATTATTATCATCTAACTCTTTTTTTGCACTGCATTTGTATTTCCTCATGACTGGTACCATTCTCGTAAATCTCACTATAACTTTTCTTTTGCTTCAACGGTCGTTATCAAGTCAAACGTTGCAAACAGTATTCCAATTGTGAACTCACTAAGATTTTATATGGATTAGTGTTACGTCTCAAATTAATATTCCACACCTTTACTTAAAATCTGGTATTCATTTAACATTTATATTGTCTTATAAACTTGAAATGGTTTTAATTTCTGAATTTCCAGTTCCTTTGTCTTCCACATCACCCAAGCTTCTCCAATTCATAATCTGCCATTTTATATTTTTTGACATTGAATTCAGCTTGCCATTTTCTTGTCTATTTGGCTGACCTACCTGTGTCAGCTTGCAGTACCTGGTGGTCCTCAAAATTATTTACAATACTTCCTATTTTAGTGTCATCAAAAACATTTAGGCACCAGTTCTTCATGTCCTATAATGGATTTTCAGAACATTACCACTTTCTGAGAAACCATTAATTTCTGTTTTGATTCGTTTTAATTAGCTTTTGATTCAACTTTCTACCTCACCCTAGTTTTTTAACACAACTTTATCCAGTAGTTTCTGTGCGATACCTTGTCAAAGTACTCCACATCCACAGAATTTTCTCCATGTGTTTTAACCTGTCATGTTTGTGAAACATGATTTCATTTTCTAAAATCCATGCTAAATTTCTAATTATTTTCTCTCTTTTTAGGTATTTAGTATTTCATTTTTAATGAAAATTGACAATTCTTATTCTGATGCAGATGTTAATCTTACTGACCCACGCCCACATGAAATGGATTTGACTAATTTTGAAGTTAAATGTTGAATGCTGTTCTCTGGTTCTCTAGTACACATGGACAGTCAATGCTTTTCTCTCCAAAGAGGCTGCCTGATCCAGAGTATTTTGCTTTTACATTTACAACCAAAACTGGCAATATAAATTCTAGGCCAATGCTCTTTCTTCCAATTTCTCACAGGATGCTTGGAAGTATCTTGTTAAATACAAGCTTTTTGCCCATATTTTTCTTAACTAAATTCTCTAATTCTTACTTTTTATTTGTCACATCTCATCTTGTAAACAATTCAAGATTGATCATGTTTCTGAATTGAGATGAACAGCAGTAGCGGTAAATCTTTCTGCCAATTTGCATCTATTCTCTACTAACTCACTATTCCCCTCCACCTAAGGGCTAACTTCACAATTAATAATTCTCTTTTAGCTGATCCAGTTTTAGAAAATTTGACTTATTTCTAAAAGCTTTTGGGATCTCTCCTCATTATTTACGTCTGTTTTTCTTTTTCCACTTCTAAACCACACTCTTCACCCCTCACCCGAATTTTTTTCTGGCTTATGCCTGCCTGATTGATGTCACAACATTTAAAATTGTAGTGATGAAGCGTCTACGTGAAAAAAAGGACAAACTTTATATTTGTTTTGTAAGTATGAACTGTGTGGCATTTTCATCTTGAAGCTGCAAATAATGATGCGATGTTTGACAATAATTTATGCATCATAAAGTGTTTTCAAATAGGTTTAATTACATGAATTAATTATTATAAAAATCGCAATCACTTATTTTCAGGAGGACGTGATAAAGTGTTTTAAACTAAAGAAGGTATTATTTAGGATATTTCAGGAGATTGTAGATTTAAAATAATTTCCAAGTAAATTAAAAGAAAACAGAAAGGAAAATTAGAAATTGCTGAATAAGTTGGAACTTAAAAGGGCGGGAAAAGGGTTTGTCGATAATCGGAGGGGCGGTCAGACAACCAGTCCTGCTCTCCGGCACTAAGACCTGGAGGAAGCTCTTGTGTATCTGCGTCGAGCTGCAGCGATTTCCTCCTTCACACTGCGGCTCAGCCTAGAGGCTGATTCTGCTGCAGCTGTCGCTCCTGCTGCGGTTGCGGCGCGTTGGGGAGGCTGCCAAAAAAAAGAGGATGAGGAGCTCGAATGTTTACACTTCCACTACAGCAGCCATGCCTCTTTGCCTGATAGTTCCACACCCCTTCCGCATCTAAACGGCGACAGGCTGCAGAGCATCAACCCTATTCCCCCCAACCTAAAACCAGCAAATACCCCCCCCCCCCCCCCCACCCCCCATAGGGTTTCCTTACTTCTGTTTCCGCTTCAGTCAAATCACCCCAGAGCTGGACCAGACCGATTTGCTGTCTTCCTCGTCCGCTGCTCCAATTGGCAAGTGGACCACAACAGGGAAAAAAAATCACAGCATCCTGCCGACTCGGTGCATCTTCTCCTCCGTCTCCTGCACTGTTCAGTTAACCCAGACCTATCATCATCAGCATCATCATCATCTGTGAAGAGGCCGAAACCAGGAGACGGAGTCTGTCTGATACTCCACTTCCCTCTTCCTTTCTGGGCATCGTTATCCTCAGCTGAAGCGATGTAGGATATGTTGGGTGACCTCCTCTCCCATCAACCCCATCCCCCCCCCTTATCCTGGGTAGAAGATCGTCTTTGGTGAATAAGACAGCCTACTGCCATTGTTCAGTTTCTTTATTTATTGTTCACATATTTGAAGTTCAGTGTCAACGATAAGATCATCAAACTGACTGTGTACATGATTTTTGGGAAAGTGGTGGTTTTGCTGTATCAAAACTGGCAATTAGAAAGGGTACAGGTTTATTTAAGAGAATAGCAATTTTCTTTAACATTGTTTCTAATTTTAATTTCCTATTGCACTATTAATAATGTCGCATGATCGGAGTATCGAGCTGGAGCACTTTGAAGAAAGGAGCAAGGGCCACCGATCTTCTCGGCGTGGAAGTGGCACTGGAGGAGGTGGAGGAGGAGGTGGAGGAGGCAGTGGAGGTGGTGGAGGCTCAGTCTCCCGAGGAAATGGTATACCGAGCCCAGCTCACAGCGCTCACTGCAGTTTCTACCGGACCCGTACCCTGCAGGCGCTTAGCCAGGAGAAAAAAGCCAAAAAAGTCCGCTTTTACCGGAATGGAGACCGCTATTTTAAAGGGCTTGTGTATGCTGTCTCCCCAGACAGGTTCAGGTCCTTAGATGCTTTGCTTGCAGAACTGACGAAGTCTCTATCAGATAATGTCAACCTGTCCCAAGGAGTCAGGACCATCTATAGCATCGATGGAACCAAGAAGATCACCAGCTTGGATGAATTGCTGGAAGGTAAGTGGGAAAGAGACAAATATGTTTCAATACATGTAAGGTCATCTTAAGTTGCCTCAAGGTCAGAAGTCTGGTTTTGATGACCATTGCACTTTTTAGGGGACAATATTAAAACCAACACAATATGATAATGAACAAGTTTCCCATTTAAGCACAGAAAGCCTGTCGTTGCTTTAAGGAGTAGGCCAGATTCATTTACAATAATTACAATAATGTTAAAACATGTGAACTGCGCATACAAGGAAACAAAGGTTTTTTTTCCTCAATATTTTAAAAAATCAGTGAAGTAACAGGTAGTCATTAGTATTTCTTCCAGTTTAGCACCATGGTTGTTTTTGTTGCCATGTCGAAGGAAAGGATAGTTTTCCTATTGGGAAGTTTTGGAGTTTGATTTTTGGAATAGAGTTACTTAGAAACTTTTATCACAATCCATCTTGATGCTTTTAAACAGAACTTAGAATAGTAATTTCAATATTTCCTTTGTAGCTTTTATTTGAGCTTAACGTAGATCTCTAGGATTTTCACCTTGGATACAAATGCTAGGTGTAATGTAAGTGTAATGACAGTGGGTAAATTCCTGTTTACAAAGTTGATGCAGTGTCTTTTTTACTGGCCCTATGTTCTCCTTACATTAAATGAAAGAAGAGGAGCAACTGAAAAGGTGAAGAAAGTCTAGGAGGAACATTCTGTTTTCAAGGTACTCACCTTTTGAATCAAATTAAAAATTCTCCCAAATTGAATTGAAACTAATTTTAATCAGCAAAATGGAAATTATTGAGTTCGATCTCTGTTCCTGCTAAGACACTCAATGGCGCAGTTATGAGGTGCTTTCTGGATGAAATTAATTGTAATTAACAGGGAATGATGACCAGAGAGTGTTATATAACTAAATTATGTATATCTCCGAGTTATCATTGTTCTTGTCAATGGTGAGTGCTTTTTAATGTCAATCCAATTTTGATAAACTCTGCTACAACTCAGGATGCAGACTTACAAACCTGAATTATGTTTTCCCAAGATCATATTCCTCCAAAGTGACTTTCAGACAAGCATCACTAATAATCACAACTTCCATATTAAGTACAGCTATTATTATTTAAAAAAATGTATTTCATATTTGAAATTGCTCTTATTTGCAACCCATAACAGAGTCAGTCTACATAGCTGTTGTAATTTACAGAAGTAGCCCTGCAGAAAAAGGAAGACTTGACTCATGTGTTGGTATAGCTGATACTTAAAAAAAAAATTTGTCGTAAGACTCATTTGCTTCCACAAAAAGGATGACCTGCTCAAAAAGTGTGGCATTAAACTATTGACAAAGGTAAGTCTGACAAAGGAAACATGTGCTGCTACAAGAATTTTAATATAAGGTAGCAGGCGATTTATTGGGTTGTTTGTGATAAGTGAAAGGGTATGTTGTCTCCAAACAATAGCTTACTTATGCCACATAGAAGGTGACATGTTGGTCGCTGATTATGTGTACTGTCTATCATGTTGGAAAAAGTTCTGATGAAAACATTGAGAACTTGCACACTAGACAGATGCGTTTGCCAATAGGAGGCCTAATTTGTGTTTCATGCCCCTTTCCCAAAGTTGGGCCACGCTGAATGCAATTAATGCTTATTATGTTTACGCATAATAATCAGCAGTCCTTAAATGAGGGTGACAATATTTATCTGTTAGTTTTCAAGATTTACTTAAATTGCTAATTTAAAAAGAAAACTCCAATTAAGACCAGGAAGGATATTGTTGCTTCAGAGATAGTAGGAATTGCAAATGCTGGAGAATCTGAGATAACAAGGTGTAGAGCTGGATGAACACAGCAGGCCAAGCAGCATCAGAGGAGCAGGAAAGCTGACGGAAAGCTGACGTTTCGGGCCTAGACCCTTCTTCAGAAAATGAAATTTCATCCAGCTCTACACCTTGTTATCTCAGGATATTATTGCTGTCTGCTTCTGTGTCTATCTCTGAGCTGGTAATGATTAGAATATTTAAAACAAGGATCAATACTGGGTCACTGCTTCATGTCCTCCATATTCACATCCACATCATTTATGTAAGAGGTATGGTTCGTAAATTTGGTGGTGTAGTGGACAGCCAAGAAGGTTATCTCCGAGCACAATGGGACATTGATCAGATGGGCTTATAGACTGAGGATTGGCAGATGGAGTTTAGTTTAATGTGAGGTGTTGCATTTTGATGAGGCAAATCAGGGCAGGACTTATATACTTAATGGTAAGGTCCTGGGGAATTTTGCTGAACAAAGAGACTTTGCAGGTTCACAGTTCCTTGCAAGTGGAGTCGCAGGCAGACAAGGTAGTGAAGAAGGTGTTTGGTACATTTGCCATCATTGGTTAGTGCATTGAGTATAGGATTGGGGGGTGGTCATGTTGTGGCTATACAGACCATTGGTCAGGCCACTTTTGAAATACTAGCCTTCCTGCTAAAGCAAAGATGTTGTGAAACTTGAAAGGGTTCAGAGAAGATTTACAAGGATGTTGCCAGGGTTGGAGGGTTTAAGCTATAGGGAGAGGTTGAATAGGCTGGGGCTATTTTCCCTAGAGCATCAGATGGGTCACCTTTTTATGGAGGTTTATAAAATCATGAGGGGCATCGATAGGATGAATATCCAAGCGCTTTTTTCAAGGATCGGGGAGTCCAAGACTGGAGGTCATAGGTTTAAGGTGCGTGGGGAAAGATATAAAAGGAATCTAAAGGGTGACCTTTTCCTACAGAGGGTGGTGCATGTATGGAATGAGCAGCCAGAGGAATTGGTGGAGGTGGGTACAATTACAACATTTAAAAGACATCTGGATGGGACATGAATAGGAAGGGATTAGAGGGATATGGGCCAAATGCTGGCAAATGGGACTAGATTAATTTAGGATATCTGATCAACATGGACGAGTCGGACTGAAGGGTATGTTTCCATGCTGTACATCTCTATGACTAATTGTTAACAATCAGCAAAAATGTGGTGTTAATCCAGTAATAATAAGAGATTTTCTTCAAAATTCAACTGTTAGCATTTTCTGAAATTTCTAGAATGCATTGTACAAGTTTGCAATCATTTTAGTCATTCTTTTCATAAAGCAAACCTGTACATGCACACACTCTGGTTTTTCTGAAACTGGGTGTCTCTAAATGGTTTGATTAGATAGGGGAATCCACTAAAAGTGGTGGAAAAAAATGAAAATTGAAGTGACTGCAGTTTGGGAGAAAAAACAGCAATGGACCTGGGTCACTCACTGTGTAGCAACACTCAGGTGGAAGTCTTGCAAGTGTGAACCTAGTTACCGGCAATTTGCATCTATAGCACGCTATGTAAGATCTTTTGATTATGAATATCAGTGTGCAGTTCTTATATTATCAAATCATGGACTTGCTGTTGCAATGTAAATAGAAAGACGGCATATAAATCCCCAGTTCATTCATGTTCCCGCAAATATGTAGATATGAACATCTGCAGCTTCTACAGCTCATGAAGTTCTATTTAGTTGTAGATACGTGGAGCTACAGGAATGTTTTAGATCACCTTCTCTGCTCAAATGAAGAGCGCTTGACATATGTAACATATTACTCAACATCATGACAGATGATGTAAGAGTAATGTGAACATGATGTGCATGCAATATGCAAATATTCATGTGCATTGAGTTGGAGATGTGTAAAATTGTCTTTAATTGTTTTAAAGGAATGCTGCAGCATAAGGCGATATAACATCCTTAAACTCAAGTATTAATTACTAAATGCTGTAATTAAAAATAAGATGATTTGATCTGTTGATCCAAACAGGGCAAACATTTTTCTCTGAAGTACAGCATTTCAATGTTTTATAAATCTAAAATCTGAGACAAATGGTTTCTGAGCGTTGCTGGACCTTTTACTAATCTTACCAATGACCCTAGGAAATCAAGCCTTAATAGTTGAGGTATGTTCGAAGAACAATTTGTACTGCCATTTATATCCACTTTTTAAAACATTGCCTCAAATGAATCTGTAAGATGGGTGTATCTGGATTTGCATTACTTGTTTAGCAATCCTGGTAACATTTTAAATCTCAGCTCTTAATGGATATGGTTTGACCAGGCTTGCTTTTGAGTCACAACATTTTATTGACACCAGCTATAAGAATGTTGAAATAGCAGAGAGAGTCGATAAAGGTTCTAGCGCAAAGCAAGTTGGGGAGACATTATAAAGAGTGACTCATATTTAACTGCACACAATAGTGTGAGTACACAAGGCATTTTACTTTGTTGGATGCACTGTAGAAGTAGGAGGATGAACATGAACAGCAGAGAAGGACAATGGCGATTTTAAGCCAAAAACAAAAGACCATCTTCTACAGGCATCGTATTGACATCTAATAACAATATTTTAACTGGATATATTGATGGCCAGTGACTGAAGAGCTATACTGCAAGGTATTGCGCCCTTTTTTTTGCAACTAGAACTAGTATCAACAATATTCTAGAGAAGAGTCACTGGACCCAAAACGTTAACTCTATTTTCTCTCCACAGATGCTGCCAGACATGTTTTTTTTTTTCAGCAATTTCTGATTTTGTTTATGATATTAATACACATTGCTATGTCTTCCAGGCAAAACAAGAAGCCTAGCCAGATTCATTTGATTTATGTTACACCACTGCATTAAGCCAATCATAGATGCCTGATTTCTACAGGATGATGAATACATTAAAGTCAGTTGGCAGCAGCATGAGGCGATGCTAAAAACATTTTTGAACAAAAATAGTCACTTGAATGCACACATCATTATTTAAGAAATATTATGTAATCAATCTACCAAAGGAAAAAAGCATGATGAATGTCTAAATAGCTGGTGCTTCCCAAACACATGTTTGTAAAAAGGACTGCTTAGAATGTCCGCAATCACTTAACTTTAGAATGCTTTCCATATTCTAGAGAGAACAATTCGGGAAATTAGTTCCTTGGAAATATAGATTATCCACCTGAAAAATGGTTTATAAATTGTACATAA